CTTAGTAACTGAGCTGGTTAGTGTCTAAGTAATACTGGACTCAGAGTAATACGAAGACTGCGTGCCTTACAATCCGCCCCCTTTACCAACAGAAACAGACCTACAAATGCGATACTTGTCAAGAATGGCTAGAAGCGGCTCTGTTCAATGAGCACCGAGGGGATCGAACCAAAAACTGCACTACCTGCCTGAAGCCGAGGGCCCTCCAAGAAAGGGAGAGGCGAAAAATGGACAAAGAAGCTGCCAGGAGACGGGACGATGAGGAGGAGTCAGGCTATGATGACGTGGAGGGGGTGATGGTTGCGGCGAAGTCGAAGACGCCAACAGTTCCCCTGGAATCGGCTAGCCGGAGTTGCTGAAGTCCATCTCACAAGCCAAAGGTGACACCGCCGACGTGTGCCTATGGCGAGTCAGCATGAATGATCACGAGGCTACGAGTGCAGTGAAAGATCCGAAGCTCCTAGCTCGAGCGGTTGTTCAAGAGTTCTGGGAGGTGACAAAGAATCGTATGATGTATATATAAGCCTGGGTTGTATGGGGAATCTTGGGTCGAGAAGCGTCCCAAGGGCAAGTAAAGTATCTGAACTATCTGAAGTATCTGAAGTATCTGAAGTATCTGAAGTATCTGAAGTATCTGAAGTATCTGAAGTATCTGAAGTATCTGAAGTATCTGAAGTATCTGAACTAGCTGAAGTATCTGAAGTATCTGAACTGGCTGAAGTATCTGGACTGGCTGAACTAACTGAACTAGCTGAACTATGACAACCGGTAGAGGTGAAGGGCTCTCTCTCTACAATATTGTACATCATATTGTATATCATACATGATAGCATACTACCTAGACTGATACAACGTAGGTAGTACTCCAAGAAATCTTAATGATGAAAGGGCCGTCGCTCTGAGATCTACAAAGGAATAGTGCAGTGAATGGGAACGCTAAGCAAGTAGAACTAAAAAGGACTTTGGCCTTACTCAAAGGGACCTGTGGAGATGGTCGTTGACAGCATTAATAAGAGAGGGTTATCGGCTAGAAGCTATCACTCGGGGAATTGCTATCGACCGAGCAAGATGTCTGCAAAATTAGAGATCATAGTCCTTGGTAGTGGTCCCTCCTGCACTACTCCCAACCTTGCCTGTGTGACTAGAGACGAAACTTCTACCAATCCACCTTGCCGCTGCTGCTCCAGTGTTTATGAAAGCAGCGAGGATGCAATAGCGGCTGGCGGAAAGAAGAACGCGAGAGGCAACACTTCTGCTGTAGTCAGGAAGACATGGCGGGACGGAACCCAGAGGTAAGTCGACATAGGCACGCTCGGTAATGCTGGTTCCAGTCGATTGAACCGCTGCAATAGTTGTTTCCTGATCGATTGCGGCAAGACTTTCAATCGTTCTGTGGTGGATCATTTCCCAGCAAATAAGTTGAGAAAAATCGATGGTAGGCATCATTAATTGTGGAGAAGTCGCTCAATGCCTAATAATCGCCGAAAACTGTGTCCTCTATAGCCGTTATACTGACACATGATCATGCTGACGGTGAGTTCTGTATGACAACAAGCCAGGTGGGAAAATTGACGTAGCGAATTGCTGCAGCAACATTTGGGTGCGATGATCTCCGCGTTTTCACATGGAGGCAATGGATTCAAGATAGCGTTCCGGTATATCTCGATCTGAAGACATTCTCCATTCTCAACGAACGTTTTCCGTGAGTGAGATTATCCAGTGTGACTAGAATACCCAGCTTAATCGTAGACTCTTTTATTAAGCTATTTGGTTCAAACGGGAGTTGGAAGCGGTACCGGCCTGAAACCAACCTTGGATTTCAAGATCATTGATGCCCACAAAGAGGTCATCATCTCCGGGATTGTAAGCGGAGTTGGTGGATCCCGGATCATCAGGTCAAACACTTAAAGTCTGACACTTTGTTCCCTCAGAAATTCCTCAAGACTCCAACTTCGAGCAAGACTGACACCTTACTAGTTCAAAGCGTTGCACCTGAATCTATGTCCCTTCCTGCTCTCGCCGAGTTAGATCTCTGAAATGCTATCTTTTTCTTTACTTGTTGTATAATGATTACTGGATAGCCTCAATATTCATTAGCTAAGTTAGAAACCCAATTACCAGTTCCACCTTTGCTAGTCGATATCATAGTTGTAGTATTTAGCCAATACGTAGTTATTCAATGGTATTATCTCTTTGCAGAAGCAGTGCCGCAAGTATGCACAACTTGCTCAACCAGACAGTACCTGCTTGTTGGAGATTAAGCCTTTGATATGCGCCTTTGGTAGTACAAGTCGCACAAAACGCGACTGTGCAATCGCACTGTGCCGATGGACTGTCAATTGCACTGTGCAACCCCAAGCGCATCCTCAAGGAGCCCTCAGGGAAAAGCCATTCACCGTGGTGGCGAATGCGTTTTGTAGTGATACGAGACCCTTAGCCAACTCTGGCCTTTTTGTGACTGGTGCTGAGCTTTGAATTTAGTGTGATTTCGGTGTGAGCTTATGTGCGACGGTGCCTCCCAACACCACACAACACTACACAACACCACACGCCACATCACCTCACACTACGACTGCTCTTTGTAGACAAGTTTCCCGTGGTAGAATAGCTGCTCCTTAGTAACCAAATAAATATGTATAGGTAGCTCTTTTGCCACTTAAGTGTAACCTCCCTAGCCAGATAACTCAAGCAATATTGGCTTATGATAACTTGTGCATTATCTTCGATAACAACAAGGAGTCGCGACCTTAAGTCATCAAGACATCGATTTAACAGTAAGAAGTAGTCGCTAAGACAGGTGAGTATTACATAACCACTGCGTAAACCCGAGACGCTGGATATAATTAGCCCGCTGCGAGAACTTAATCACTAAGGCAAAGACTTGATAACTTGTATCTTGCGATCAAGTTAGAGCCCCTTAAGGATAGTAGCTCTGGCACTTGACAGTTATATATAGAAGCCTTTTCAGTTGTAATAGTTTTGCCACCACGATTTATACGGTTCATGGTTTACCTCACCTACCTCATCCAAGCTTTCGTCCTTGGCTATCATATACCATACTCAGTAATCAAGGTAGATTCGATAGCTATAGTGATCTATCTCATTGCATCTATTTGTTATAGTTATATTCTACGATATTGTTGTCGCATTAGCATAATACCTTTGACTAAGCCCTCCGAAGATCCAATTCTGTATTGAAAGGGTATATCATATTATGTACTATATTACCTATATACATACGACGTAACTAGCACTCTTACACAGTAAGGCGGTTTATTTTCGCCATCCAAATACATATGATGTCAATGCCAAAAAGTACTTCTGGAGACATATGAGCCGTGGTACAAGCACCCATGCCAGAATATCCACCTCTTGCCAGGAACACAGCTGACAGACCGAGCAATCAAGCTCCATCCGATTTATCACACCGTTGCAAGTTCCAACAAAAGGATGACATATCGTCATTGTGGAATCCGTTTCTTCCCATCAGTATTGTCGCGGGCGAGTGGTCTAACCTACGTTAATAGTTAGCACCGCCGTTGTAGTGGGAACTTAGCAAAAACGATGTACTCTTTTCACCTAAATCGATACTTGAATACCGTGGGTGAAAGACAAGGGTAGCTAATCCTTGAGAAGTCTTGCACTCAAGGTAGCTTGTGAATTAAAGGTAAATCAAAGGGTGAGATAACAGTCATAAGAGTCTATTACAAAAGGAGTCACGGAGCGGCTATCTATAATATCCTTGAGGTGGGCAGCTGTGCTAAGGGATCCTTGTAGATGTTGTGTGCACTATCTGCAACGAGTATTCAAGGCATCGTGAGTGCACAAGGTTCCTTAATTATTCCAAGGAATAGCTATGTATCAGGTGCACTGGTGCTGGTAAGGATACATAGTGCAGTAGGTGTATTCCGTATCCCAAGGGATCGCGAGTGCACTAGGTGCAACCATTTCCCTAGGGATGCGCAATATGACGTAAGTATGTACGACGTACGTGCGTCCTAAATTATTTTAAGTTCTGCTCGCGCGGGACTTAGAATTATTTACAAAATCTGATTATGTAATACCCATGCGGCCCAGCCTACAGCTATTATACCAGCTCTTCTTCTTCTGTTAGTAGGAACGTGTATGACTTGACTGAGCTGCATATATCGTATACGCGGCTGGGGACTAAAGTACTATACGGCTATCTACAACTTCCCTCTCCCACGAGGAAGACGATGCCCTCGTCGTCTCTATGTTGAGATATATCATAACGTTGTTCAAAGCTTTACCTTGTGAAGGATTCCTTTCTTGTCGGCGTTGTGCAGCGTGTCTTGTTCCTTCTTGGTAAGGAGATGCCAAAACATTCGTCCGAACACTCCTCCTACACCTCGGTATCGCAGGTGTGCGCGAATGCGGGCTTGGTTTACTCGTCCCCGTTTCTTCAAACGCCAAAATGTCCAGAGAGCGACTCTGGCTCCGTAGAAACGTTCGTCCAGGTCGTCAGCGTTCATGAGAACATTGCCTTCCGATGTGCGGACGCAGTAACGTAATTCGCCACCCTTCCAGTAGTATCGGACGATGTCGGTGAAGTCGATTGTGTCATCACTGTTCACAGCAGCAGATTCTGCAACGACAGCCAGGGGAATTCCATCACTACTATAGCCATCATCCAATGCCGCAATGGTAGTGATGTCGTTGTCGAGACGGCTGTTGGTGTAGGGGTAAGGCATCGCAGGTAAAAAGAGTTCCTGACCGTCATTGTCGTCAGGCGAGTGATTGTACACGAGCTTTGATGTCCTCCAGTCCAGTCGGCAAGTCTTGGAGTTTGGACTGTGGCGGCGGAATGTGGATCAGTTGAGCACAGATGACGCGTGCAGAGCGCAGAAACGTACGAACTCGATGGCGCACATGGGTAGACAACGATGCAACTATAGGATCAGCTACGTGGATGCTCTTTGACCAAGCTGTCTTCTTGTACAGTACTCTGAAAGATGTGAGCCCATTGGCCCACATCGAAAGGGGCTATGGCGCAGTTGGTAGCGCGCAATCTTAGCATAGTCTTACAGACAGCGTGTGGTTGAGGTCTCGGGTTCGACTCCTGATGGCTCCATTTTTTCTGTTTTGCACCTGATGAGCTCACCTGAGTCTGGTGTTTTTTTGGCTTTATACGAGCCTTTGCCCTTCGCTAATAGAGTCTAGGCGGCTACGCTATCGCATCTTCGCTTTGTGTATGCCATGCAACTACTTTTTGAGCAAGAGACACGATGTGTCCTTGTCGAACACGTTGCGCAACTCTATCTCGTATGGTGCGGCGAAGAACTCGGATGTCGTCAGTAATGCCCTGAATGCCAAGGCGCATCGATCTTTCTATTCCACAGCGAGGGTTTCCACAGCGAGGGTCAATTCGGCAAGCAAAGACCGAAAAGAGGTCAAAGCATGCGGCTATATAGAAGAAGACACCCATATCATAGTGATATACCAATTGTATTCCGCTGCTGTGTGGTCGAACTGTGGATTGCTTCAAGGCTCGTCTCAGTTGGCACTCAAGCTTGGCGCGAGGACGAGCGCGGCGATACTCAATTGAACGCGTTTCACGTTTCATAATAGTTCCTTTGTGTCCTTTGTTCCTTTTGTTCGCCGATCAGAAAGTCCCATCGGATGTCGAAAGGAAAAGGGAAGGGTTCTGCTTTATGATGCGTAGAAGTATATAACTCTCGCATTTAAAACAGTCAACGACCAATGTCTTTCTCAGGTGAACGTGGAACAGAAACGAGCATCATGTCCAGTACGTTCGAAGTTATCGTCCTTGGAAGCGGGCCCTCTGGCGGGCTGCCTTCTCTAGGCTGCATCACGGCGCCATCCAAATCTACATCATCAGTATGCCGATGTTGCACCAGCATCTACGAAAAGACGCCCAATGACGTTGCCGCTGGAGGCAGGAAGAACCGTCGAGGGAATACGTCGTGCGTTATTCGCAAAACCTGGCTTGATGGGCGACAGAGGTGTGTACTGTGACGCCTACCGATTTATACCGCTTTCTTGTTTATTCATACTGTCGTTCTTCGTTTTTAGCTGCATTATGATTGATTGCGGCAAGACTTTTGCGCAGAACGCCATCGAGTATTTTCCCGCCCATGGTTTGCGAAAGCTAGATGGTAAGCATAAGCACGAGACTCATATGATGATCATTGCGAGCTAACATTCGTGAACTGTAGCTGTAATTCTAAGTCACGATCATGCCGATGGTAGGTATTTGTTACCAATCTCTATGATGTTTTGATAACACTCAGCTCTTTTCACGTTCTTCCTCTTGCAGCAATCCATGGGATAGACGATCTGCGCATGTTGACTCGACCCCGGCTCAAGAATGGCAATGACATGGTACAGGACGAAGTCCCGATATACTGCGCTGCAAAGACGTTTGCCGTGCTCAAGCAGCGATTTCCGTGCGTAAATTACAGAGATACAGGATTACTTGAAAGTCGGGACTGATCCTGCCATGCGCGGTGCAGGTTCTGGGTGTCGCAGGAAAGCAGTGTCGGATTTACCGCGGCAGGAAACATGTCGTTTCATATCATCGAACCGCATAAACAGTACAACATTGCCGGTATAGTGAGTCGGCTGTGACCAAGCAGTTTCGTGCAGCCTTTAATTTCCCTTTGTGATACAAAGGATATCGTTTCCGTCGAAGTCGAGCATGGATTCACCAACATGCAAGTGCTATCAGCCGGCGTAGATTCAGCGCTCACAAAGCCGGAGTCCGATGAAGTAGGCTTATGCATCAAGCAAAACAGTATCACGGTCCCCTACCTCTGCCTCGCGTTCCTTGTAGACGAGAAAATCTTGTGGATGTCTGACGTCGGCAAGATTCCAGAAAAGGCGTGGAACATCTTCCATTATGGCCTCTCATCCACCCTAGACTCCCAGAATGAACGCGCCAACTCACCCAAGCGACGTCTGCCAGTTGCCTTTGTTGATCTTTCAGAAAACTTCCCGCTCCGTGCACACCTATCGACTCGAACCTTCCTCCAAGTCGTCGACAAACTCGAAGCGGTCCAGACGTTCGCAATTGGAATGAACCACACATTATGCCATGGCGAGATCGAGGCGTTGGGAGAGGAGGTAGAAGGCGTGCGAGAAGATGGAAGGGAGGAGGCGTTTATCCAGGACACCTTGTACGGAGGGGAGAACGTTGCGGAAGGTGGCCTGTTTGACAGTCTGAAGCAAAAGAAACTGCATTTCCGGCCAGCGTACGACGGGATGAGCATTATGGTGTGAGCGCGTGCACATAAGGCCAGTCTAGACGAGAAGCGGACGCAGGTGTCATAAGCATAGAGAGTAACGAAGATTGTATACATAGAGCGTGCTCAGAGATCTCAGAGAGCAATGTGGAATCCGTGTCGACGATGAAGCTGAATCGAGCCCTCGGTATATGTCGTCTCCTTGAAGCTTCCAGTGCGATAGACTGGTCTCCTGAATGGTCTGACCTCTGGTGTGGTGCATAATGGTTAGTTGCTTGATTACCGTCGCACTGCTCCATGTCACCTTGTCACCTACTTCGAGGGGGAAGGCGCGGGTCTCGATCGCCTTCAGACGATTTCGCCTGTCCGAGCTCACGCGCCTTGTCTCACCACAATGCCCATTCATATCCACTTTACTCGATATCCAACTTCATACCACTAAACGCAAGGACTATCATCAGAAACCTCACCTCTCACCCAGTCATATCATTGATGAGCGAACTCGGAAACTGTGAGACTGATGACGACGACACGGCTTCGACGAACGCGATCAAGGGGGTTCATCGCTGGTTCTTCTGCCAAACCCTCACCCGTCAAGATGCCAGTCCGTCTTAGGTCTCGACGTCGGCTAGGAAAGGTGTATACATCAGTAGCCACAACGACAAAGAATGGCAACGCACCGCCTGCGAAAAGAGCAAAAGTCGAGGTGACATCGCCGAGGAAACGCTTACGTTCACAACTCTGCAGTCAAGTTCCCTCGGAGGATGAGGGAGGTGAAGCGGTTGAGGACGAGAGCATGTCGTCAGAAGAAGATGAAGAGGATCACGACGTTACTATGCTGGCTGATCGTACCATGTCACCACTCAAACCAAGCACATCCGCCAATCGGCTTCGCCGTGTCCGTCGAACTACCCGCTCTCAGCCGCAACTCGGAACAAAGGCTAAAGCTGGCAAGCTCGCAACGTCAGCCGAGGTGGCCCAATATGCGGCCAGCAGTCCGCGCAAACGAAAGCGTACCGTAGCGGATAGCGACGAGGAGGAGATGGATAGCGCAAGTGATTCTGCATCGGTATACACCGGTTCTGGGTCAGAGGGGTATGAGAGCATTGACGGCGAGAATGCCGCACCGGATCTCATTGCAGAAGGTAAGCACGCGTGGACCTTGACCCTAAGAGCGATGCTGACGTTTACCAACCTGTAGATGACGAACAGCTTCTCCGTCAGGCATCCTCGGCAGCTCTCGACCGGCTTCGAAAAGCCGAACTCGTCCGATTATGGAAAGTGGCAGGGTTGAGCTTGGACGAATCGGATTCTGAATCGGAACAGGATGAATCAGATAGCGAATCCGAAGAGGAAAGTGACATTGAGATGCATTTGACGAAAGAGCAATTGATCAAGGGGATCGTCGAGGCTGTAAGTCGTTCCGTCATTATCTTTGCCGGCAGAAAACTCACACCTTCTACTGGACCTCGCAGCGAAAGAAATCGGCACCACGATCCTACAGTTCTCAATCATCCGCTGGGCGCAGGATCGCTAAACTACCGGTAGCGTCGCGTGTCGCATCAGCAACGACATCCGGCGGGAGGTCATCTGTCTCAGCGTCGGGAGAAACGTCTCCGTCTGCAGATGACAAGGCTTCGAATCGTCATTCAGACAAGTGGAAAGCTCGCGCAGGGGACGGGAAGCCAAAGTTTTGGATCGCCGTCCCAGATCAGGGCAAGAAGAATGCAAAAGGCAAGCAGCGACGAGCGTCACATACTACCTCTGTCGCGTCATCCGGCAACAACCCATCGGCAAAAATTGCCAAAGCACAACGATCACATGTTCCAAAGGATGCCAAAAAACGAGGAATGGTCAGAAAAGTCTCTTTCAGCCGGACGGAAGGCGACGAAAGTAACCGTGACAGCTCTGTTGGTCACGCGGATGATGAACGAGTCGATGGAGAAAAGGGAACAGGAGACGCTCTCAAAGGTCTCAAGATGTTGACAAGGCGGGCCAGTCAGAATCTGCAAAACAGCACGTCGTTACGCGCCTTGCGTTCGCGAACCAAGGATCAGAAGGATACATCGAAGCTCGCGAGTGAAGTTGGTGGGAAGCGCAAGCAGAAGCGTGGCCGACACATGGAACTTGACTCGGCGACAAATGCCACGGAAGAGGGTGATGGAACGGTAGAGATGGAGGACGCGGATTCACTCACGGAACAAGAGTCAGACGGTATGTACATGCGTTCTTGCACGATTTCCCATATACTAACCGATTGCTGTGCAGATCCTACGCCTCGGCTGAGAACGGACAAGGGTCCAGCCATCTCACCGACACCCCAGCAAACAAACATGCGCACGCGGCAAGGGCGACAACAAAGTCTCTACTCGTCAGCATCGTCCAGTAAATCACTCGAGCTCTCCGGGCGCTATCAGCCATCAGAGGATGAGGAGAGTGAAGAGGAAGAGATGACTCAATCCGGGTCGAGTCCGGTTGGAGGGAGACTGAGAATACGTCATCGTACTAGAGGACAGGCGCGCCAACAGGAGCTCGAGACGCAGCTTCAAGGCATGGACATCACCGACGAGGAGGACGCTGGTGATGAAGATGCCGACCAGGATATGCAAGATGTCGATTCTAACACTGACCATCAAAGTAAGTCCTCTGCGGAGGACGAGGACGAAGAAGGCGACGGTGACGACGAGGCGGAAGAGTTTGGTGAGTGACTTTTCAGATTTTGGAGCAACGTGTATCTGACCTCTTTACAGAACACGGGTTGACCGATGCTACTCACACAACGCTGAGCCGGTTGCGTAAAGACCGACTTATCAAGATGTGCGAGGCCCGTGACCTGGATACAGAAGGTACCAAGAAGGATTTGATACAG